TTTCTGCTGACTCTGTACAGTTTTCTTTATTGCCACAGTTTACTATCGTCTAATGGCTTCCAACACGAAGTCAGAAGTCAAATTTTATGAACATGGAAATGCAATCAGTGACTTCCATCTCAAGAGAAGACGTCTAATAAACTGTATGCATGTTGAGATATTATGTACTAATTATGTACTAATAAGTTAATTAGCTTTCCCTTTAGCAGTCATGTACAGAATCACCTCTCACTTGTCAAATCTCATTAAAAAGATGCTGAAAAACTTTGTTTACTCAGCCCCAAAATAAGTATTTAATTTTGCTCATTTAAAGCAATGGTTCTCAAATCTTTTGTTTACCCTTACCCCCCTGAAGCCCCACTTCAGGAGCCATAAAAAGCTCACGCACAGCTTGCACAGGCTGAAAAGCTTGGTTCATTTATAGGAATGGGTACCGGTATCCGGGCCGTCATTCTTCTCGGGCGAGTAGCTTAATGTTGTTCGTGTGTAATTTACGTTGAGTAGGCCAACTATGTTATTAAATTAATGCATGTAGGGTGAACTAGCAAACACCGTTGTAGTTATATGCGGCTGTCTTCATGTTTGATGGCAGATACATCCTTCACTCTGGCCAAAAAGGCTAAAATGACCAAAGAAAAAGTGGTCGAAATTCATAGGGCAGTGACAAAATTTAAAGTCAAAGATCTCCATCCATTTTCAACGGTGGAGTCAAAAAAAAAGAAAAAAGACGGCTAAAAAAAAAAAAAAAAAAAAAAAAAAAAACATAAGACGACAACGTTTGTGTTCTCCATTCGTTAAGCACGAGCACTGTTTCAAAAATACCGATTTGGCACCGGTATCGGATAAAACCTAAACGATACCCATCCCTATTCATTTAGCACCAGTCACACAGGCCTGGAGACTGGTCTGCAACCATTTGGCAACCATGGGTTAGTAGAGAAAGTGTACCTGGGGGTTTAGCAGTCGCTGGGTTGCAAAAAGGTGCTGCCCCAAAAATCTTCTTACAATCTTTTTAAGTGGAAGATGCCGACAAGCAGACAAGTCAACATCTTCCAAGCAAACTACCAACCACAGGACCCTGCTAAATTCACCCAGCAGACTACAGCAACAACTTGTCAACTGCTTAGGGAATACCTACAGACAACAGAGGTTGCCAGAGGGTTGACAACCAATCAGTAGGCCTCTGAGCTGTTTGATAAACTGGTTTAAAACCAACGTAAACAAAACGTCCATATACAATGTTTCCTTGTCACCACTTATATTTAGCTATTAGATACTAACCTTTCACCCCAATAATTTAAAAAGCTTAAGAAGGTAGAGCATCATGATTCTACTAGTACATCCTGCATATTAGACTTTCCCCTTAGTACACTACTGAGTTAAAAAGTACACACTCTTAATTATATGTTCAGTTGCAAACTAAAAGCAAATTTCACGCAAATACTGTGGCCTTTACTGAACCATAACACCACAAACAAAGAAAGTTACACAGTCCTCACAGAAAGATACACACGCGCAGTACACTTCATGTATTATGCAAACTAGCTACGGAACAAAGATCGTGAGTGTTTCTGGGTTTTTTTCCTCCATCAGAGTCGGATTGAAAGTGTGTATCTGAGGTGTGTCTCAATAACAATAGCTGCTGGTGGAACCGGTGGTGCAGGGATGGAACAAGAGGGGAAGAAATAAAGGAGAGGTTAACTAAAGTGAGGAAAAGTGGCCTACAGTCAGATTAAATCAATAATCTGAGGTGTGATGGCATAAAAGAAAAGGTTAGCCTAGAGTTTTTACACTTAATAAAATCAGAAATGGCTTCAGTTCTGCTAAATTTTTCATCCACTCTCATGTCTGTGCAGGAATAACACAATAAGAAATCTTCACTTCTAAAAATTAAAGAGGAGCTGAAACTTGTACTGTGTGCCATTTCTTTTCAGTTTCTATATGAACTGAATCTGACATGTTCTGGGTTTGAAATATCCAGTAAAACAATCAACATCTAATTAACTCGCTGCGCTGGTTTCAAGAATATTAAAACGTTTTATTTTATGATGTTTAAACCTTAATTTTTCCATATCAGAATTTAAAAAAGTTTTGGTTCAACTTTGACTATGGAGCCATTTAACAATCTTCATCTGAAAATAATACTCAGCACACAAGGAAAAAGTTACGGCAAATCTGTTGAAATATACTTGAAATAAACTTGAACAGGGGCAGCACGGTGGCACGGTGGTTAGCACTGGTGCCGCACAGCAAGAAGGTCCTGAGTTCAATTCCACCATCAGGCCGGGGTCTTTCTGTGTGGAGTTTGCATGTTCTCCCCGTGTTTGCGTGGGTTCTCTCCGGGTACTCCGGCTTCCTGACAAATTGTCTACAAGCCGTGTGGTTTATTTCTGCCAACATGTCAATGTTGGTAACATCAATGTTAGCAGAAGTTAATTAAACTTAGAGGTTTGCAGTCACAGTGCAATTTAAAACCATGTTACACTGACATTTATCTGAAAGTGGCGGTAAATTTGAACAGTCCCAACTCCAAACCAAATAAAAAAAATATAACATTTCATATTCCTGTCTCAGGGTGCTGGATTTGGGGCAAAACCATCCATTATTTACAAGTTATTGTAAGGACTTGTCTTGATGTCAGTGGTTTTTTGTCATCATGTGTCATTATGTTTATAATTTTTTAGATATTAGATCATTTCTAAATTAAAGACAAGTATCAGATTACTTTTAATAATGATTCCTATGATATTAATATATCTAAGAAGACCCACCTTAACCTCTTTGTTTTTCATAAAGTTATTTTAATGTTTTAAATACAGTTTATTGAAGAAGTGACACATTACATTTTCTTTGTATTAATACTTTAAAAAGATCTGAGTATTTTATTTCATGCAAACATATTCAGCAGTTCGAGAGCAATCTTATCTTTAATATGTAGTGCTAGTTATGGCCATCTGACTATTATAATTCCTCAGTTTTTGCTCCAATTTTGGTCTCCTCCACCTCCTAAAAACAACATTACCAATAAGACTGGCTGCTTTCTTCCCCAGCTTGTCTGTACCTGCCTCCACCTGCAGATTTATAGGTTTTCTCTCTGTAGGTTAGAACTAAAAGTGAGCTCTGTGTTAATATAAGACTATAGATTAATGGGGCTTGCAGAATAAATCCTCTCCATTTAAGGCTGTTTTGTGAGGACATGCCCGGAGCTGCATTGTAATAAATCTCAGAATCAGGGGAGGAAACTGGGCTTGAAGGCCCACTGTTGACCTTGGAAATAACAAAAGAGTATTTTAAATTGATTAATGCAGACAGTGTGTGTGTGGATGTGTGTATACATTATGTCTGGCCCACTGAGCACTCACATTAATTGGGTACAGTGTGGCCCATTACCCCCACACAGCATCACTCGCCAGCCAGGTGGCAGGATGCTGAGCCCTCTCTCACACAAACACACTTTACTCAGATAATATAAGAGTGTTCTTTGTTATTTAAAATGATATTAGAATGTATCAGAGCTCTTATGCTAAAGAAAAAAAATAATGTCAGGATTGCCTAAAATATTTGTTATCTGCACTCAGAAACTAGCCTGAACTTAAAGGAATTTCATAACAATTCAAATAAAGTTACTTTAAGTTGAATGAATACAAAGTTGGTAGACTGACAGCTTCAGACAGTGAGATGCATGATGTCTGTACAAAGGCAGGGACTGAGTTCAGTCCCAACCTTCATCACGGTTTGCATTAGGATGAAAATAAGCCATCGGACCAAATCTAAACAAACACAGCATGTTTCTGTTGTGCCAAGTCATGATAAACAATAGTCTCTGGGGAGTTTAAATGTGCTTTAATCCTGCTTTCACAAACTCAGTTTAATGAAACGAGTGATTGCTCACCTTATCTTAAAGTCAGAAGAGAAGAAAAACACTTAAATAATAATGAGAAAACGATTCAATAACTAAATAGTATAAAATAAGGACCTTAAATGTAAAATGAATGCAGGTAATTGGGGATGATATTATTTTTAGATTATATGTTGGAGAAGACAAGGAGTCAACTGCCTGTTCAGTAAGTGATGAGCTGGGTGGTCTGGATACACTAATTATCCACCAGAGTCACACTGCTGATCAAACTGGATTCAAACACCAACACGAACTTCACAGCTTTTCTCACTTTTCTATCACAAGTCCAGTCCCTCCACATTTTTTCTTTCCATTTAGATTGATGTCTCTGTCAGCCCAAAAAGCACAGCTGCACAGACTAAAGATAAACCCAAATATATCATCACACCGGTAGAAACATTTCAGAAGCTGCACCTGGTTTCCTCTTTGGACACAATTGTTTCAGCTTCTTCAGTCTGACTTTCTCCTGCTTGTGCAAGCTCATCACTACTTTCACTGCTTCACCTGGAAGTAAACGTGTCTCCTTAAATAGAGAAATGGAGCTGCAGAAGCCTGCTGGTTCATAAGTTCACACACACATTCATACTGCACTTTATTCCCTGATTAAGCACCTTCTGTAACATTCACACACTCTAATGAATGCATTCAGTTCAGTATCTTGTTAAAGGATACATGCAGACTAAAGAAGCCGAACACTGAACTGTTGACTTTCCGATTAGGAAACGACATTCTAAAAAGACTTTAGCCTCTGATATTAGTTAACAAAGCTTTATGAGCCAGTTATTGACATTCGGCCAACATGTGAGTGGATCTCTATGAAAAACTCTTGGATTGACTGTTTGGCAGCCTCTTACAGCGCAGATGCACACATACACTGATGCCATTTAACCTCAGCTGCTACTCAACCAAATCTGGTGCACTAGAAGTGAAGTACAACACTGCTGCATCTGGGTGTAAAACTCATACAAAACATGCAACAAACAAAAAATGGAGAGGAAACTGGGAACCAGAAACGGGCTGTTTGTGACAATAGGAGGATCCTGAGGAGCACGCACACATAAATGCCACAAAACAGCTCTACAGAGTATCAGCATCCACTGACCTGAGCCCGTGGAGGTCGAGGGACACCCATCATCATCTTTAACGTCTTTATAATCATCATCATCATCATGTCTTTTCTTCCCAGCGAGAAAATACACTTCCTCTCAGAAGAAGAAAAAAGAAGCTGCCACTTCACTTCTAAATCTGTTCACACGTTCATGCACACGCTCGCTGCGGTGTGCAGTACACACACACACACACACACACACACACGATCCTGACAGCCAGTCTGCAGGTTGAGAGCAGAGTGCCACAACCAGGCAGACGGACAAGGGAGAGATTCAAGAGGGTGGGACAAAGGGGGGAGGGAAGAGATCGTATTGGCCAGGGGGACACTTGGTAGCCAATGAGAGGGCTGCTCTTATTCCAGTTTGCATTAAAGGGCCAAACAGTTAACATGAGAACCAAATTACATAATTTTCACGTTTTGCCTTTTCAATTCAGGCTACAGCTGAAAAAGCCCATCAGTTTTTAATCAGAAAGTTTTAAATTGTTGACAATTAATTAATTGTTAGCTCTCTAAGCCTTTTTTAAAAGAAAAACAAAATTCAATCATAATTCAACAACGCAGCGTTTGATGAGAGCCAACTCTCTGTACTCTTCTCACAGGAGTGGGAATGAAAATGAACCAGTGCAGGTGTTGAACTCCAGGCCTCGAGAGCCGGTGTCCTGCAGGTTCTAGATGTGTCCTTGATCCATCACAGCTGATAAATGGCGAAATTACCTCCTCAACATTTCTTGAAGTTCTCCAGAGGCCTGGTAATGAACTAATCATTTGATTCAGGTGTGTTGAACCAGGGTGTCATCTAAAACCTGCAGGACACCGGCTCTCGAGGCCTGTAGTTCGACACCCCTGAACCAGGAAGGGTGCTTATGAAGGTTTTCTTTGTCATATGTAGTTCTTTAAAGTCTGAACGCCTAAAATCACCACACCTAAATCTGCACTGCACAGCCTATTATTGTGTTAAGACACACCTTGTTAACACAGGTTATAACATAACATCCAGCTCCACCCTTTTGACCTGAAAAACCCAGTTTATACCAGAACACTGAGCTTTCAGAGAAATGAACCAGTTTAGGTTGAAGCTGTAGTTCTGCTGCTTTACAAAGCATTAACTGTCATGTTAAAGGCGATGGCTACACAACACACGTGGATGTTTGTGCTGTAAATACATCTTAGGGTAGTGTGTGTGTCCTTTTCCAAAACCTCTGCCAGTCAATGAGCGTGCATTAGTAGGACATGCTAGTATTTTTTGGATGACACCAGCTTCACTGTATTCTTCCATTGTGAATGAAATATGTGTGTGGGTTTGTAAAAAAATCTGTTTTTTTGACATCTTCAGAAGATAGCACAGACACCTGCACGGTCACATTTTTCTCTGAGTGAATGAGAAATTGTTTCAGGCTAAAAAATAATAAAAATTCTTGAACTAAGTGAGAGTAAAGTTGAAAGCCGGAGCAGCTTTCAACCGGAACAAGCAGTGACTCATTTTTGACATTCCAGAAAAGGACCAAAACATTCAGACTCCCACCCACTGCATGTGAGCCACTGCAACACACGCACGCACGCAGACGCACACACACACACAAAGCTGGGCAGGAAGATGTATGAAGCCTGAGCCTAAATTGCAGCATTTCTCTATGGAGTCTGGTGCCTGTCACTTCCACCCCCAAATGTACAAACTAGTCCTTAAAATTACGGTGCTTGTTATTCATTTCCTGCCCGCTGTATTTTATAATCTCACATCACTAATTAATATATTTTAGTCCTGAGTTTTTTTATGAGCTGATCAATATTTACTTAAAGCCCGAATGAGAAACAATGTTTTATCCAGATTAAAGTTAATGATTAAGAGTTTATAACCCAAAAGACATTCATAGATTATCTTAAGAGAATTAGAGAATCAAGGGCACATAAAACATAGCTGACAGCAAACTAATGACTCAATGACACAATATTCTGAGTTTATACAGTGACATAGAGGTAATCTAAAAGTAGTGGTACTAGGGCTGGGCCATATCATACCATTCAGGTAATATCAGTATAATGTTAGGCAATGATAAGAGAATGAAATATCGCGAAAGAATGTGGGTAAAACGCGCATGCGCAGTGCCTTTGTTTTCATACGCACATGGTGGAAAAAGCATTTCGGTGACGCAGTATGAGAAGAGCGAAAGCAGATCGTTGAATGAAACAGATGAACCAGAACTGGTTTGTAAAAATGCTGCAACTTCAGTGATGTGGAGCCGGTTTAGCTTTCGTCCCTCAGATACACAACAAAGCACTATTTTTGGTAGAGCATGCAAGCGGCCGTCGTTATTACCAAACCGATTTTATGTGGCACACGGCGCTCAAAAATCTGCCAAAAAATGTTTTCGTACGACTTTGCTAAGCTACGAACCCGCACCGCTTGATGGATTGTTGAAACATTATGGCTGCCGTAGTCGGGAGCCTCGTGGAGTGATACGTGCTTCAACATAATATTACCGTACTGTGTGTGGATACGTTTTGTGGATATTCTACATGGTTATGTTGAGGATATGTCGGCCAGTTTCCACTGGAAATGCCTTTTGGTTAAACTGTCAGCGAGGAATTTGCACTGTTACGTTTTTATATAACTTTAATGAACATAAAAAAGCTGCTTGTTTAAGTGAAAATACATTGATGGGGTTTTTCTTGCACTAATAAAGTTGTGGAGTTGTAAAGCATTTTGTCTAGTGTCAATTATATCGTCAGTTATATCGTTATCGCAAATTTTCAAATGTACATCGTGATAAATATTTTTGGCCATATCGCACTGCCCTAAGTGGTACTGCAACAAAATGATTCCTGTGCAGCCCGATAAGCATTTTCCGTCGCAGAATGATTATGAAGGACACCACCAGCTGCACACAAGGTTGATTATTGCAGTCTCTAATTATTCTGTTTGTTTTTGGGGAGTTTTTAAGTTACAACGCTATGAAAACACAGCTAACATGAATAACAAACGTGGTCCATATCCATGTTTGAATATCTCAGGTTAAACTCAGGGCAAGATGGACGCTACACTGACTCGCTGTACCATCTTGTGGATTAAAATGGTATTACATGAGATTACAGCCCCGTCCCAGTTCAACTTTAGTCGATATCTCAGCAACACATAACATCACAGCCGCTGTTTCTTCACACTCTAATGGTATTTTAGGTAATGTAGATTTAGCAAAGTATTTTAAACAGAAAATGTTGACTTTAAGCCCTGAATTAGTAAACCATGACTTCAAAGTCAAACCATCTGTTTTTCATGAATTGTAATTTTGGTGACAGATAAAAACATTCTTATGAAAGTAGCTTTGAAATTAATTTTTAAAAAAAAGAAAATCAGCTGCAGTATTAATAGGATGATGTTGAACGCTGGAAAGCGTGCAGCTATTTTAATCTCGTCTTTTTAATAAGCATGTAGGGCGGCCGTTGCACTGAAACACTCTCTTGCAGAGGTGTCATGTCAGCTGCTGAAAAAAGAAGAAGAAGAAGAAAGTGAGAAAAGTCACAGGATCCTGTGAAATGATCTTGTGAAACCCAGGCCTCTGAAAACAGAAGAATGTTTGAATGTTTATGAACCAACTACAAGGTCCTAAAATAAGAAACCGACTGAACACAATCTGCCTTAAAAAGGTCATTAACAAGTTACATCAAAGGCAAACACCTGGCACGATAACAGGTCTGCGTGTAGAGCAGCCCCTGCACCGCATGCTGCTATTTTCTGATGCAGCTCAATGCTCTGACAGCTCGTCCTTGTAAAAGACGATCATTAGGCGACAACCGGCTCCACTATTCCTCTTAGCTGACACGGTGATGATGTTCCTGGCTGATCTTACAGGCCATTAAAGACACCCAGCTCCGCCCTGAAACACTTTGATGAAACACAGCCTTAACTTGTAGAGAGGCCAAAGCATACCTGAATTCATATCTGAGCAAAAACAGCCGCTTCTAATTTGACAGTTCAATTTGTTATTGCAAGATGAAAGAAATGTCAGCATGTGGGGTTTCCAGACAATAAGGCAGTTCTTGTTTGTTTTTTTAGGTGGTGGACAGTCTGCACTGGTGGTTAGCTACACACAAGGAAGTTACACATTTTCCCCTTATTAACATGTTCACTGTCACATAGAGCCATTAATGTGTCACACTCTCATAATTCCCACCAGCAACTGTACGAACAGGCCGGGGTTAACTTTGACAGATATTAGGAAGCACAGACGGCCATCAAGACTACCAACAGGCTACAATGACCCTACATTTTTTTTAAGGATCATATTATTTTAATTTAAAGACAATAAAATCTCTTTTATATCCAAAATCCGGAAAACTCATCACATATGCATGGGCATGTAATAATAATGATAATTCCAACAGGGCTTTAATAATTCACGGCTGTGTACCATGCAGGGTTTGGTTTGTCACTCCTTTTGAATTAACAATAAGACAATAACGGTATTTCATGTGCTGCAGCTGCCTTTGGTTTCTGTATTTCTCTCTTTGTTTTTTATTGCTTTTAATGGTTTTAAAGAACAAAATGTTGAAATAAGGCAGCGGTTCTTTCACTGACTTCCCAGCATGCATGTGGAAAGTTCCGTTTTAGGAATCAGAGCCTCTCAGCGGTCTAAAACAATGACCTGCTTAAGTGATTTCCTTCCACAATGCACATGTCATCCTGTAATTACTGGGTAGAGCTGTTGCAGGAAGCTCAGCTCCTCCATGACTCAGACACAAAACACACAAGGTAATAAAATCACACTGTTAACATACACAGACCCAGGACATGGTGATAATTACACTTTACTGAAAGCCTTTAAAGTGCAGGAGAAACATAACTGTTCACTAAATGCGATGACAATGAAGACAACACGACAGTGACACTTAGTGGTCAGCTCTGACAGCTGCATCACCTGTCACACCGATCAGGTCTGCACACACACCTGGGCAACATTTCCTTCTGGAAGGACAAAGAGGCAAAGATGGCATAAACACGGGGCCGCACATCATTGCTCACATGTCCAGGACTGCACTGCTCTGTTATTATCAGCATGTTCCAAACACGGCATGAAAACCCGTCAGTTGTTCTACAAACCGTAAAGAGTATTAACAGGAACTACAAAGAGAGATCGAATTTCTTCCATATAAGCTTCTCTTCACTGCCTCCCATTAGACTCAGAACTGAATTTAAAC